GAGGCTCTGAGCTGGACCTCGGATTTCTAGGGCGCCCGGGCTCGGTCCTCGGTCCTCTGCGAAGGGCGGCACGGTTTTTGTTCATTCCCTGGAAAGCAGCACATTATCCTAGAGGAAAGAAGCGCGCGCGAAGCCGCGGCCTACCCCCCGAAACTGGCGAGCGCATTAGCTCGGGCTTTGTTGTCGCCTGCGTGGAGCGAACGTCGCGCCATTTGAACGCCCTCGCCTTATTAATTCTCGTGCCCGTCGGCACTCCGCCCCCCGTGGCTGAGAACTACGGCTTTAGGCCTAATGTGTTTTTTTTTTTTTTTCCGGAGCAGACTCTGCCATTGAACGCGCGCGCTGCTCGGCCTCACTCTAGGCCACTTTCGAGCTGTCTGCCGCCGAGAAAAGAGCTGAGGAGCATGTTTGTGGGGGCCACGTGAATGCTCCGTGCTCCGCTTAGGTCTGTCGCCGCCAAAGCCGTTCAGGCCCCCGCCCGCGCCGCCCTGATTTCGCATGGTTTTTTGCGGGGCAGATTCTGCAATCAAGCGCGTGCGCCGCTCGGCCTCGCCCTAGGCCGCTTTTGAGTTGATCAGTGGCCAGTCTCTGGGCCTTGCTCGCAACAGAATGCATTCGCCGCCGAGGAGAGAGCTGAAGAGCATGAAAGCTGGAAAAAAAACGAGACGGTGAAAATCGCTCAACTAACAAGGGAAACTCAATGATTTTGGTTTCTTAGGGCCCTCTTGGGGGTGCTCATGGGGCTCCTTTGGCGCTTCTTGGGGGCCTCCTTGGCCGTCTCGAAGCCATCTTGGGCGTCTAGGCGCGATCTTGGGGCGGCCTGGGCTCCCTCGGGCCGTCTTGGGCCCCCCCCGAGGACATCGAGGCCCGTTTGGATGCCATATTGGGGGCCCTCCTGGGCGGGAGTGCCACCCCCGGGGCCCGCGCGGAACATGCCAGAAGCACCAAGAACACCCAGGGGCGCCTGTGAAATTTGGGGCCCGGGCCCGTGCGAGCCTTGGACATTTTTTTATGTTTGGGGGCTGCATCAGCCTGAGGGCACTCCATTAATTACGTGCTTCGAGGCACGGCGGCAGATTGCACGCACAGGCATGCAGACACACACGCGCCCGCGCACTTTCATGCACACACACGCACAAACACACACACAAACACACACGCACACAAAAAAAACATACACACACACACACACGCACACACGCACACGCACACACACGCGCGCACGCACGCACGAACGCACGCACGCACGCACGCGCGCGCACACACGCACGCACGCACGCAAGCACGCACACACGCACGCACACACGCACGCACGCGCGCACGCACGCACGCACACACGCACGCACGCACGCGCGCACACACGCACGCACGCACGCACACACAACACACAACACACAGCACACACAACACACAACACACACACACAAAACACACACAGCACGCACAACACACACAACACACACCACACACACAACACACAACACACAACACACAACACACAACACAACACACACAACACACAACACACACAACACACACAACACACACACAACACACTCACACAACACACAACGCACACACAACACACGAAAAACTTACACACGCAAAACAATCACAAAGCACACACACACAAAACACACAACACACACAACACACACACACAAAAAAAAAACACACACACACACACAACACACACAAACCACACACAACAAGACACAACACACACAACACGCACACACACAAAAGCACACAACAACACAACAGCACACACACAACACACACACACAAAACACACACAAAAACACACAAGCACACACACACGCACACACACACAAAAACACACACAACAACAAACACACACACACACAACACACAAAAACACACGCAGACACACACACACACACAAAAAAAAAAGCCACAACACATACAAACACACACACGAACACACACACACACACACACGCACCAAACACACAGAAACACACACACACAAAAACACACAACAACACACAACACAAAAACACTTAAACACACACACACACACAAACACACGAAACTCACACACACACACACACACCAAACACACACACACACAAACACACACAAAAGCACACACACAACCCCCACACACACATACAGAGAGAAAACCACACACGCACAACCAGACACACACACACAAACACACAAAAACACACACACACACACAAGAACACACAGTCACAAAAACACACACAAACACACACACACACAAAAACACACGAACTAACATACACGCACAAAGACACACAACATCACACACACAAAAACACACACAAACACACACACACATCAAAACACATACACAAAAAACACACACACACACACAAAAAAACATACACACACAACACACACACAACACACGCACACACAAACACACAAAACACATAAACACACACAAACCACACACACAAAACACACACACACACACACAAATCACATACACGCAAAACACACAAACACACACAACACACACACACAAACACACACAAAGCACACACGAAGCACACACACAACACACACACACACACACACACACAAAACACACACAAACACACACACAAACCACACACAAACCACCACACAAACACACACACACACACACAACAACACACACACAATTCACAAGCACACACAAACACACACAAACACACACAAACACACACAAGCACACACAAAACACACACACACACAACACACACACACAAACACACACAAACACATACAGACACACACACACACAAACACACACACACAAACACACACACACACACACACACAAACACACACACAAACACACACACACACAAACACACGCACACACACACTTGGAGGGGTGGGGGGGTCCAGAACCGCCCCCCTCCCCCCCTCCCCCCGGCCTGCGCCTTCGCCGGCGGCGGCCCCCCTCCTCCCTCCTGGGCCGGCACCGGCGCCGGCGGCGGCTGTCGGCCGCGGCGGGGAACGTCGACGAGGACGACGATTCAGAGGGGGGAGGGGGGCTTCGAACACCCCCACCTTCCTCCAGGCTGGCGCCGGCTGGCGGCGACGGCGACGACGACGACGACGTCGACGACGACGACGTCGACGACGACGACGACGACCACGACGACGACCAGGACGGCGCCCACGACGACTTTGAGCATGACGACGACGACGACGCCGACGACGGCGACGACGACGACAGAAAGCGCGTGAGGAACACGACGCAACGCGAAACATACTCGCATTTGAAGTTTGGGCCCGTCAATATTCCGCCACTCAGGGCCGAGGACAGAGGACTACAAGGGGTCGTCGTCTTCGTCCTGGTCATCATCGCCGCGTCGCCGCCGTCGGCGCCAGCGCGCCAGCACCGGCGCCGGGGGGGGGGGGGCGTGTCGAACCCCCCTCCACCCTCTTGCGCCATGGGGGTTGGGGGGTTCGGGGAGGGGGGGGGGAATGGGGTAGGGGAGTCTCCATGGTTCTGTTCGACGGTTCCGAACGTTCGGGGGCCCCCCCCCCTTGTGGTTCAAACGCGCCGCACACACAAACACACAGACACACACAGACACACAGTCACACAGACACAGACACACACACACACACACACTCACACTCACACTCGCAGTCACACACACACACACACACCCACACACACACACACGCACACACATACATACAGACACACATGCATACATGCGTACGTATATACATACAACTTAACGACATACTTACACACATATATATATATATATAAGACCGTACCAAAATCATTTATTCACACACACACACTTATTTCCCATATGGCCTCAAGAAGGCACCGAGGGGGCCACAGGAGTCTTCAGAAGGGCTCGACGAGCGCCCCAAGGCGGCCACGATCCGCGGCACGGCACACGGTCGATGACAGCGGAGACGCGGCAACGAGACAAAACTTGGAATTGTGCCGCTGAAGCTTGATGAGGGGTGACATGGGACGCGGCGAGAAGGTATCCATCTCATGCATGACATCTTCATGCGCGCGCATGAATTACAGTCGCTCGTGTAGTATGCCCTTGGTAAGTGCATGCGCGCACGCATGCTTTACATCCCAAAACATGAGCACCATGCATGTGTACCTGCAGCAAAGATGCATACCTTTTTCCTCCGCCGGCGCTGCGGGCCATGAGCGTGTGTGCAGTCTCCTGGCTGCGGCAACGAAGTGGCATCAGTCCGCTGGCAGGCGCATTCGCACGTGCAGTGGCATGGTGTGTAAGGGGCGAACACATCCCGGCAGCCCACGGCAAAGTGACAGATCATATGAAGATGCGGGAGGAAGGAGGCCAGGATGCGCACGCATGCAGGTATGCATGTTGCCATCGATGGCTGGCCAGCGGACTTTTTGCAAGCACGAAGTCTCTATGCTTCCCTGGCTGCCCCCACTCCCGATTTCCTGTCCTCTCGTCGCTCTTTTCGTTGCAACCCGTTCGAACATGCAATCCAGGAATGAATTTGGTGTCGCTTCACATGTTCTTCGAACTCCGTCCCTTTTCAGACGTGATTCTCTTCGGCCGCCGGGTGTCGCTCCACCTGTTCTTCGCGGTCCGTCGATTTTCAAATTTGACTTTCTTCGGCCGTCAGAACTAGGCTGTCTCCCGAGAGTTGGGACACGCGTATCAGGACACATCGGCCACATTTTCCCACCCAGGCACGGCAGCGTGGCAACGCATGTTGATCGCTTGCTTCGAGCTGCCTGCAAAAAAGTCATGGGCGCCGTGTTTCCGCAAGAGGCATCCATACACCACCACCATGTCTGGCCAGGGCCATCCTTGGCCCGAGGATGGTGTATCGACCCTCCTGCACTTGGGCAGGAGTGCGTATACGTCATGCCAGGGTCCAGGATGGCTTTGGTCAGGCATTGTGCTGTACAGACGCCTTCTGCGCTCCCTCAATCCACGATCACGATGGGTTGACTGCAATCCCTGCGTTGACCCTCCCTGCCCGTCCAACAGGCTGCGCGCAGGGACCAAGTGCGCATGACGGCTGCGGACGTTCCAGAATACATACGTCAGCTAGATGAATGCTGGTGCCTCGAGGACGCCGGAGCGAGGGGAGACAAACGTCGGGATTGGTCAACGTGCGTGGGGGGTGCAGATCGCGCGGGGGGACTGGATAGTTTATCCTTCGCCAGCGGGAGGGTGATCGCGGGGAGGGTGGTTTCGGCAAGCAAGGGGGAAACCAGAACGTGCCGTCGAGCGGGAAAGCGCGCGTGTGTGTGTGTGTGTGCTTTTTCCCCAGCCCTGGCTCAAGGCCACGAGCGGGCACCCCCTCGGGGTCTCCCGCACTCAAGGGGGCGCCCGACGCAAGAGGCCCCGTCCCCGCGCCGCCGCCGCCTGGCCCCTGCGGCCCCTCCGATCCCCCCGTGCCCGGCCTAGCCATGAGCCCTGCGGGGGGCTCCCCAGACGGGACCCCCCCACCAAGCCTGCGGGGTGCAGTGAGGGATGTGCCGAAAGTTCGCGTCTGCGTTCCCCCATGTGCCCCCCCGGGTACCGGTTACCACCTGGGGAACTACCGCTTTCTCGGGGGGGGGGCGGGACAGACCAATTTTCAATCAACCGACATCATCACTGCCCCCACGGCCGTGGTTGATGGGGCTCACGTTCAGCCCGCTGTACCCAGCGTCCTGATCCCGCCAGAATCCCTGGAGGCGCCCCAGCTTGGTCTCGCTCCTTCGGAGCATGGCTCGGGAGAAAGTTGCGTCTCCCCCAGCGATCCCCTTGGCACCGCTGACCATGACGTCCACGATGGAGCAGGGCATACCCCTTGCAGCAGCGCCGACTCCCGCAGGATGGAGACGCCGTTCCCTGCGAGGAATGGCACCAGTGCGGAAGCACCGGGCCTGAGCCCCCCAGGTGGAGCAACTTCCGGGCACCCCCGAAACCGGCGCGGGGACACCCAGCCCAGGCTTCCCAGGTGGAGCGGCCCCCCAGGGGGATCAGCCCCCCGAGCCTGGCTGAGAGCGCCGCGGCAACCCCAACAGCAGCAGCTGGAGAGCCTTGTGGACCAGCAGGCCCCCAGTCCGAACTTGCGGAGCAGAGCCATGCTGCGCCTGTGGGCGCGGACTCAGGCCTAGACGATGATGTCAGCGCTCCACGCAGGTCTATGGACGGTCAGGAGGATGGAGCACCAGAAGAACGGGCAGGACACATGGGGAGAAACTCTCAGGGGCAGGCGGCCCGCGCAGGCCCCGCGCCCGCAGGAATCCTGGTGATCCGAGAGCCGCCAGGCTCTCGGGAAAGCGTCTCCCGCAGTCCCAGCTTCAACCCTGGTATAACGCCGGTTCGCCTGGCCCCCCTTTTTGCGACCTTGAGGACACTAATTTCGGACTGCCCCTTCAGGACTCAGCATGCCCCCCGCATGCTCGGCCGCCCCCCCCCCCAGGGAGCGCAGTTCCAGCTGCAGGGGGCCTGCGTGTCTTACCAATCGCACGCCTATTCGGCGCCCCCCCCTTTATCATCAGTTCTCCCCCCAGTGTCGCTCGAGGCGGAGGTGCCGCGAGGTATCCTACTTTCCCCGTTCGGTCCGCAGCTCGCCCTCCGCGCGCCAGCGCGGCTACCTCCGGGGGAACGCCCGCGGCTGCAGGGGGTGCCCAGCACTCCCAATCGCACTCCTATTCGGCGCCCCCCCCCTCCGAGCGGCTCAGCCGACCTCGGCCACGCTGCTGCTGTTCGAGAAGCTCCAGGAGGCCGCCGAAGATGCGAGTCAGACCCCCCCCCCCCGGATGACTACGAGCAAACGCTTTGCCTCGGCACCAGGGGGCGCCCCCCTCTCGCAGGGCCCTGCGCCCTGACCTCCTTGGGACTTGCGAAGGAGATCTTCCTTCAGCGGGCGCAGCGCGCGCGCCGTGGCGACCGGGGTTCTCGGGCCCTCATGCCCTTCCCCGCTCTTGGCTACCAGGGTGGTGACGTTCCGCGTCCGAACCTGGCAAGCTAAGTCGGGGGGAACCTTGCCCCCCCCCCCAAATGTTGCCGCCAACAGCCCCGCTGCCCCCGTTGATTCGACCCCCCACCCCTGCACTCAGGCCCCAGCGTCCCCGCTGACCGAGGGCCATGGGGAAAATGAGCCTCGGGGGGCCGCGGGCCGCGGCGAAAGGGCACCCCGGGACCAAGCTGGGGCTGCCGCCCCCATTTCTTACCCAGCGAAAGCGGCTCAGGGACCAGGCTGGCAGCCGAGGGTGGCCAAATCGCACCGAACCGTCGGGGGCCAGCCCTCTGGGCGGTCGCCCCGAGGACCGTCGGAGGCCCCGACTGCGATATTGTGGTCACTCTCCGCACTTCCCAAGATCCACGCTCTCGACGGGAAAGTTCCCATTCTCGAAACTGTTGTCACTATTCAGGCCCCCACTGTCCACGAAGGGGGCGTCCAAGGGGCCCCCAGCGGCCGTCGAAATCAAGTGCCTTATCCAGCATACCAGTCAGCCCAACCAGCCCAACCCACCACCACGCCAGGCCGGGGGAGCGGTGGTGTGAGCGGAGCTGGGAGCGGAGCGGGGTGCTCGGGACGCCCGCGAGTGGCCTATGGGACGCTCGGAGGCCGTGTACCCAGATCCGTCCACGACTGGCCGTGAGCGAAAGCCAAAACGCCCACGGCTGAGGAAGGAAGGGGGAGGGGCAGGAGAAGAGGAGTCGCAGGAAGAGGTGGAGGGAGGAGGAAGGAAGAGGAGGAAGAGGAGGAAGAGGAGGAGGAGGAGGAGGAGGAGGAGGAGGAGGAGGAGGAGGAGGAGGAGGAGGAGGAGGGAGGAGGTGGAGGAGGAGGATGAGGCTAAGGAGAAGGACTAGGGGATCAGGAGCAGGGGCAGGGGCATGCGGGAGACTACGAGGACGAAAAGGAGAATGAGGAAGGACACATCACCACACATAGTATTGCAAGAGGAGGAAGCAGGCGAGACGAAAGAAGCAGGGAGGAGGATGGGGGAGGATGAGGAAGGGCAGCACAAGTATAATGAGGGAAAAGGGCAGATGGAGAACGAGTAGGATAATCGGGACGAGGGCCAGGACTGCCAGGGGGTAAAGGGCAGGAACAGGATGATGGGGATGAGGATCAGGCGGACGAAGGAGAGCAGGGGGAGCAGGAGGGGGCGAAGAGAGGAGGATGATGAGCGTGAGGAGTATGAGGAGGGACGAGGAGAAGAAGATGATGAGGATGAAGAGGAAGAGGAGGGGAAGGAGGAGGACGGTTTGTGATGAGGAGCAGCAAGCGCTAGGTTATGCTTCTACCGACTCCTCAGTCCCAGTGAGCAGGGTGGGCTGAGCAGGGACCAGTTCTTGATGCTTCACGTATTCCAGCATGCATTTCCAAAGACAATCCCCAGGCGATGTGCATTGACCATGGTAGCGCAGGAACGTGCAGTGGCACGGAGAGGGTGGGAGGGCAGCCGCCCTATTACGTTTACATTCCTCTTAGCGCTCGGCCCTTCGATGCAGGGGTACGCCAAGCTTCCGCGTGTGGATCCAGCGCGTGGCCTCCGGATGTTCTACATGTGAATCCTGCCGGGTGTTTCCAGCCCCCTACTGCAAGTTGGAAAGCCTCCCGTAGGTGCGCGCCGCCAAGGCCTTCATGCGTGACTCCTGGTATCTCCATGACAACGGGGAGGTGTGTAGGAATCAGGAGTCGACCAAAGCCTTCGCGAACACTTCCACGGGAGGCTGAGAGGGAGCCTCTCAGAGGCCTCGTTGGGACCATATTGAGGCTCTCTGGGGGCGTATTTGGGAGGCCTTTGTGCATTCCTTGGGGCTCTCGTGGGGGCCTTCGAGGCCTTCCCGGTTGCCTACCACCGCCAGTTCACAGGCGAGAGAGATCGTTGTGGTGTTGGGGTAGTGGGAGGAGTAAACCTCTCCCTGATAGGGGAAGGGAGTGGTATGTAAGATCTGACCTTCCGAATGATCTTCGCCCATGGGCTTGTGGGATTCAACGTTCACGTGTCGACGAATACCTCATGGCCTGCTCGGATTCGAGTGTGGTTTCATCAGACTGCATGATCATGTGCTCTGCAAGTTCGCGAAGAAGCGGCCAGCGCCAATCCAAGCAAACACCTCCAGGGCATGTTTCACAAGAAGCTCCCGCAGCTCCCGACGGATTACTCGTCGGTGCAGCACGAGGGGATGGACTTCCTTCTGTTTGAGCACTTCTGGCAGTGGTTCGAGGCATCGATGCTGAGAGCCGAGGGTGTGAACGCATGGAGTGGCAACGGAGGTGGTTCTCTATCCCAGTCCCCCCACGTACGTTCACTTCTGCAGCGCCTCTTCGGGTGCCTTTGCAGCGCCTCTTTCCTCTTTCCTTCCGCCGCAGTATTCAGTTGCGTCGGCGAGCGGAGAAGGATGTGCGTACTCAGAGGGATCGATTGGAGATGGCGTTATAGGCGGTCGAGCGGGCTGAGAAAGTCGCAGGCTGCGGAAGAAGTGGAGCAGCAGGTTACGGTACAGAGGAGGATTGAGAGATGGCACCGCAGGAAATGGTAAGATTTGTTTCCGCCTTTGATCCTGACGCCTGGAGGTCACTGGAGGCTTTCGGAGGGCCCCCCAAAGCAAAAAGGTAAGGCAACATCTTACTTCCTCGACCTTAGAGTGCAGAGTGCAACATTTAGCAGATGCAGGTGGAAGTGGAGGGGTTACCGCTTCCCCTCCTCGAGGCGTACATCGCTAAGCATGACGTGGTCCGCGCGCAAGCATTCGCGGAAGCAGAGGAAAGGCGAATTGAGGCTGAGAAGAAGGCCCAGCAGCTGATGGACACCGTTCCACCCGAGCATGAGAGGGGTGGAGAGCGGACGTGGGCGAGGGAAATGGGTAGTACAGGCGGACGTCTAGGGAAGAGAAACGATGGGGGAAGGGGTGAGAAAGAGAAATAGGAGAGGGAAGGGGGAAAGAGGGACGAGAGAAAGAGAGAGAGAGAGAGAGGTGGTGGAGGAGGAGGAGGAGGAGGAGGAGGAGGAGGAGGAGAAGGAGGAGGAAGAGGAGGAGGAGGAAGAGGAGAGGAAGAGGAGGAGGACGAGGAGGAGGAGGAGGCAGAGGAGGAGGAGGAGGAGGAGGAGGAGGAGGAGAAAGAGGAGGAGGAGGAGGAGGAGGAGGAGGAGGAACAAGGGGTCGAGAGATAACAGAGAAGTGGTAGGAGACTCCGAGGTCACACCGTATGCGTCCGTTGCTCTGCAGCAATTGGGCTAGCGGCGCAAGCTGTTCGAAGCCACCCTAGAGCCACCCGGCGTCATTCCTCCTGCTGCTTTTCCTCCCTCTCTCATCCCCCCTCTTCTCGCCCCACTCTTTTCCATTCCGTTATTCTTCTCCTCATCCCGCTCAGTATGTGTTTCCCCGCCTTTGCTCCCCTCCCTCTCCTCTGTCCCCTCAGCCTCATGCTCTTTACATATCCTCATCGTCGACCTCCGATTTGGGATGGCTCGACCTGCCTGTGCACACACACACGATATGTGTGATGTTGACTCGCGTGTTTTTCACTCGCTCGCCTTACTTGTTTAGGAGTAGCACCTTTGTCCATATTCTTGCCGACTGCAGTCGCAGGGATGCTGCGCGGATGAGGATCGGGACCGATTGTTATTTTCGTTTGCGATCGCTTTACGCTGCAGTGCTTTTGTTTCCTTCCGCATCCTCTTCGTCCTTCCCTCTTCTCAATTCTCATTCATGTCTGCTTCGCACTATAATTATGCCCATCCCTAATCCTCCCTTCGGACGTCCGCGGCACGCGGACGGGACACGCCAGTAATATGGACAATCCGCCCGTTGTCGGATCTTGACGCACTAGGACGCCTGCAACGCGCAGGTAGGGCGAGGGGACAGCTCTAACGACCCCCTGCATTTCTGAGAGTCTCGCACCGCCCCCACCCCCCCTCCCCCTCAACCCCCACCCCGCTCTCTCAGGAGGAGAAGGAGCGCCGCGAGACGATTATACTCGAGGTCCGCGCCCCAAGGCGGCGGGCTCCCTGTGTGCCTCCTGGGCGCCGGACTGAGGCGAATCGACTGCTGGATGTTCCACCTGCTGCAGCGGGAGGGTGCCCTCGAGGGACCCTTGTGCCCGATTAGGGCCGCATTCGGGCTCTCCCCGTTTGCGGGTCGGGCCTCCACCATTGAAAGAAACCATTACGTTGGCAGGGTTATTCAATCGCTTCGCTCATTCCGCCGGCCCATATTGCGTGATCGCTGCTGCTTCGCCATGGACTCGGGGCCATTGCGACGCCGCCGAGAAGGAGGAAGATGAGGATGGGGAAGGGGAGGGGAGGAGGAGGAGAGGCTGAGAAGGAGAGGATGAGGATGAAGATTAGTAGGAAGAGGAGGAGGAGGAGGAGGAGCAGGAGGACGAGGAAGAGGGGGCGGAGGAGGAAGCGTCTCGTTGGCATCTTGTGTCGCTCTTGGGGCCAAACAGGGTCGTCGTCAAGATGCTTCTTTGGGAGGCCTCTTGGGGCCTTTTGAGAAGCCGTTCGGGGTCGCCTGGGAGGCATTTTTGAAACCTTCTGGGGCCTCTTGGGGCCTCTTTTGAGCCTCCTGGAGGCCTCCTGGGGCCCCTGGGGGGGCATCTTGGGGCCTCTTGGGGGCCTCTCGGGGCCTCCTGGGGCCCTCTTGGGGCGGAAGGCTCGAGTTTTCGGTTCGTGGTCCCCCTCTTGGGGCCGTCTTGGGGCTCTCTTGGGTCGTCTTGGGCGCCTCTTGGGCCGTCTCAGGGCCCTCTTGGGGCCCTCTTGGACGCCTCTTGGCCCGTCTTGGGGCGCTTTTGGGGTCCTCTTCGGCCGTTTTGGAGCATCGGAAAGCCGAAAAGGCGACAAGGCCAAAATCCTTCAAAAACCATCGTAACATTCATGATTTTTGGCCTCTCGGGGCCCTCTTGTGAGGCCTCTTGGAGGCCACTTGGAGGCCTCCTGGGCCGTCTTGGGGTCATCTTCGGCGTCTTGGAGCGCTCTTTGGGCGTCTCGGGGGCCTCTTGGGCAGTCTTGGGGGCCTCTTGGGGCCCTCTTGGCGCGCTTTGGGGCCTGAGAGGCCGCGCCCAGCAGGAAAACCATCTCTGAGTCGGACCGCCCGGGACCTTGCCTGGACCTTGCTTGGACCTTGCCAGGGTACTTTTCGTCCGGGGACCCCCAGGGGCCGCCCCGCGCGCGCGAACTAGAATATTGTCAACCAGTTACCGGAGATCTTAGCACGCCTCTGGCCCGTGGGGCCAGCGAATATCTGTGTGGTGTATTGCCTGCTCTTATCAGTATTCTGCAGCGTGCAAACTTAGGCGAATATCGCGGATGGTGGTGAACTACAGAGCCTAGATGTGTAGCGATTGACGCCCAATGCGAAACATAATAGAGCAACATGCCTTTAACAGTTTTAACTCCGGGCGTGCTATAGTTAGCAGTGCAGGCAATAGTATGAGCTTAAACCAGGTAGCCGTAGCAGCAACATCAGATGTTACTAGGGTGCCCCAGTTGAGTAACATGTTGACTGTTTGGCTCAAGCATCCGAGCGTGGAGGAAAAGAGCTCCCTTCAGACTTTCCTCCCATCTGCGCTCACTCCCGCGAATTTCGTACTCGCGCAGATGGGCAGGAAACGGGACGTGCGTGAGGCAGCGGGGATTGTTGCTGTCCGCGCTGAAAGTGGTTGTCATATCATCAGTATCATTGCTCACCGTGATTTCAATAGTGCGGCAACATGAGCGTCCCGCTTGCATCTGTGGGGGCAATCTGGCAAGCGATGCGCTTTACCACAGGCTCGGGCGAGTTTTCTCTTAAAGCCAGTCCACGGGCCAACGCTGCTTGCAGCCGGTGGCATGTTGACGAAGGCGAGGCGATGTGGGTGTACACTACATATTTTGCATCATATAGCTTACGCCACATGGCTTGCACCACATAGCTCGTACACCGCATAGTTTGCGCTCGTGTTTTATTGAGCGGCGCTGCGCTCAGTGCGTTTCGCGGCCGCGGCCGCCAGCTAGAGAGGACTTCTGCTGCTGCGGTTCGGGGTCTAAACCGCGCCCCCAGCAGGCCCAACCTGGCAAATCGTGTAGACGCATCGGGCGGAACAGCGCACAAACCATGCCAATCTAAGCACATCGCGAGGAAGTCAAAAGTGAAAGTGCGAAGAAACCACGCCAAAAGCTAGCGGTCAGGCGCCGGGTCGGGCTAAAGGTGGGGCGCGCCGAAACTACTTGTTTACGCTTCGCGAATCCCCACCAGCCCATTCAGGAGCCTGCCTATGAGAGCTGACGGGAAAAGGGACGAAGAGACACACACACACACACACGCATACACACACAGACACACACACACACACGCACACACGCTGAAATAGATCGTGCAAGGAAAGGAGAGAAAGGAGGGTGCTGTTCAATCTTGGAGGCTGTCTTGGAGCATCGGAGGCCTTCTTGGCGCTACGGGTTTGTCGGAGGTGAGGGGGTGAGATCGAAGTGGAACGGAGAGCCCCCCTACCGGGAAATCGATTTCGGTTTCGTGTTCGTGCGTGCCGTGCGTGCGGGCGAGGCGAAGCTGCGTGGGCGGGCGAGAGAAAGTCTCCTGTGGCTGAGGCGCGGCCGGACCAAATGACTCCCTTCCGGGCGGCCCGGTGGCCCGCGGTGTCCCGCCGGTGTCCCGCGAAAGTCCCGTGTGGCTGAGGCGCGGCCGGACCAAATGACTCCCTTCCGGGCGGCCGGTGGCCCGCGGTGTCCCGCCGGTGTCCCGCGGTGTCCCGTGGTGTCCCGCGGTGCCCCGCGGTGTCCCGCCGGTGTCCCGCGGTGTCCCGCGATGATGATGATGATGATGATGATGATGATGATGATGATGATGATGATGATGATGATGATGATGATGATGATGATGATGAGATGATGATGAGATGATGATGATGATGGTGATGCTGATGATTGTGATGATGCTGCTGATGGTGATGATGATGATGACGATGATGATGATGATGATGAGGGTGATGCTGATGATGATGATGCTGATGATGATGAGGACGATGATGATGATGATGATGATATGATGATGATGGTGTCCTGGTGATGATGATGATGATGATGATGATGTCGATGATGATGAGATGATGATGATGATGACGATGATGATGATGATGATGATGATGATCATGATGATGATGATGATGATGTTGATGGTGTCCCGATGATGAGGATGATGATGATCATGATGATTATGTTGGTGATCATGATGATGACGATGATGGTGTCCCGATGATGATGAGTATGACGATGTTGATTTTGATGATGCTGATTATGATTGTGTCCCGTTGATGATGATGAGGTTGATGATGATTATGGCGTCCCGATGATGATGATTATTATGATGGTGATGATGATGATGATGATGATGATGAGGTTGATGATGATGATGATGATGATGATGATGATGATGATGATGATGATGTAGTGAGACCGAATGTGATATCGATTGTGATATCGATTGTGAGATCGATTGTGAGATCGATAGTCAGATCAATGGTGGGATAGATCGAGTGAGATCGATTGTGAGATCGATCGAGGGAGATCGATCGAGCGAGACCGATACTGAGATCGATAGTGAGACCGATCGAGTGAGACGTTGGTTCCTCCCCCCCCCCCGAACCTCCTTATCACCCGAAGGGTGGTCGTATAGGTATTTGGGGATATTAGGGTCTTCTTGGAGGCTCTTTTGGAGCATCTTGGGGCCCTCTCGGTGCTCTTGGGGGGGTCTTGGGGTCCTCTTGGTGCTCTTTTGGGGCGCCTTGGGGCGCTCATAGGGCGCTCTTGGGGCTCTCTTGGGGCCCCCTTTGGGCCCTCTTGGGGCTCTCTTGGGGCTCTCATCGGCGCTTCGGAGGCCTCCAGAGGCCATCTTGGAGGCCATCGATCAGAGAAGGGGGGGTCCTCGATTTGCCTCCCCCCTCTGCGACCATCAAAATAGCCTCTTGGGGCGCTCTTGGGCCCCTCTTGGGGCGCTCTTGGGCGGTCTTGGGGCTGTCTTGGGGGCATCTTGGGCCCCTGTGGGAGCTCTCTTCGGGTCTTGGGGCCATCTTGAGGCCTCAAAAGCGCATCGGAAGCGAAAAGGCAAGACGGCACAAATCATTGATTTTCCCATGTGTTTGAAGGATTGGGGCTTCCTGGGGGGGTCCCGAGGGAACTCCGAGAGCACTTGGAGCTGTCTTGGAGCGGTCTTTGAGGCCTCTTGGAGCTTGTTGGAACCCATCTCGAACGATCTTGCGGTATCTTGAGGCATCTTTGAGGCCATCCTGGAGCAGCGGAGGCCCTCTTGGAGCCATCTTGGGCGCTCTGACACCCCAGCCCCTCCCCGTCCAGGTCCAGGGGAGGGGTAGGGGGAGGAGTAAACCCCTCCCCAAAGGGGAAGAAGGGCTTTCAGAAGAGGGGAGAGAGCTACCGTTAGACCACCAACGCCCAGAGGGCTGGTGAGATTGGGGCACGAAGGAGAAGACAGAGCAGAGAAGAGGCGAGGACAGAGCCGCTCAGACTGAGCAGACCTTCTTGGGGGGCTGCAGAAGGTGCGTGCAAGCTGCGTACAGGCAGCGGGTGTCGAAGCCGAAGCTGAAGACGAAGTCCTTGACGGGGGGCTGAGCGGCCGTGTAGGACAGGGGGACACGGCGAGCCAGTGGCCAGCAGCGCGGTGACGCCGGCCAAGGACCGTGAAAGGTACGTGACGCAGACGGAGTGGTCCCCAAAACGGCTGCAACGCAGCAGGCCATAGCCTAAGACCATGACGGGGAAGACCTTGTAGAGGCACATGATCGCGGAGTGGAAGCACTTGGACAGGCACAGGAACCGAAATGTCCCGTGCAAGCTGAGAAACAGAGACTCAGCGTGGGGAACCCAGAGAGGGGCCTCAGGCAAAATTGACCAGACAGGCATGCCGGGCGGCCATTGACGGTCAAGAGGACGCACAGGGCGCCGCTGAAAGGCGACGGGTGCAAGGCCAGTGGATCA